AGCCTGCCTCTGCTGTACATCTGATGTGAGGGTCTAGCCTGCCTCTGCTGTACATCTGATGTGAGGGTCTAGCCTGCCTGTGCTGTACATCTGATGGGAGGGTCTAACCTGCCTCTGCTGTACATCTGATGTGAGGGTCCAGCCTGCCTCTGCTGAGGGGAAGTTTGGTTCTCTTTTTGTTGTTTTTCCCATCTTCGTTGATTTCTAATCAGGTACGAAGAGTTGATAAGCAGTACTGCTGATCCTCTGTTGGTTTTTGAATGCAGGAACAGAATGATCCTAATTCAATGGTAATGAAGAAAGCCTGTGAAATGTGACTGGGTCTGCCTGGGCAAGTGTGAAAGGTGCACCCTCAGGGCTAAGCCTTCCCAGGCTGTGAGGATGGCACAGACCACACACTTTTGAATTACTTTGTTTTATTTGGTAAATAAACCATGATGTATTATAGGATGTAACATAATTGTTACCATAAAATGTACTCAGCACAAAATTATACTGTAGAAAAAAAAATGTATTTTCTTTCATAGCTCTCTATACCAGCATCTATTTCTTCACGTGGATTTATCACCCAGATTCCTTTTGTTCCCCTGGAGGACTCTCTTCCTGATCCCATGCAGTGCAAAACTGTTAGCAATGACATGTCTCCACTTCCCTTCTCCAAATGTCTTCATTTCTCCCTCATTTTTGTGAAGGACAGTTTTGCTGGGTATAGAATTCTTGGTTGACAATCTTTTTCTTTCAGTATTTTGAAAACTGTCTTCTCGTTGCCTGTTGTGGGGTGTCCACCAGAGAAGAATGTCCAGACATGGGTTTAAGCCAATAGAACATCTTTATTAGCCTACTGGCGACTATACTGGGTGTTGAGGATTCTAGTGTAGCACCAAGACTTTCACAGGGTGAGCTTTTGAACACAGAAACTATATCCTGAGTTGACATACTTCCCATGAACCGTTAGCCAGAAGCAGAACTACAGAAGCCAAAAAGCAAGGTTAGTACATTTAGAGACTTTCCCAGAACTATAAATTGTGATGGATTAGGCCTTTGTTTTCATTCAGCGGGTGGTACTATCTAAGTGCTGCGTTTTACAGCCTGGATGGCTCTTCCATCTTGGCATGAGCTGTGCTAAGATCTGGGGGCCTGTTACACGCCTTTTGTTTTTATTTTGTTCATGGTTTTGCAAGAAATGTTTTTATTAATTCTTTGAGAATGTCATACAATGTACTTAGATCATTTTCAGCACCGACGCTCCTCCTTACCCACCACCAACTCATGTCCTCTTTTTTTTTTAATAACCCATCAACTCAATTTATTATGTCCATTCCTTCTGTTCATGCAGCCATCCACTAGAATGTGATCAAACCACCAGGGGCAACTCCCTGGGGAAAAAAACTAACTCTCCCTCACCCCAAAGCCATCAACTACCCAGAATCCTTCAGTCAGAGGTGGGAGCCCATGAAACCCTTTCCATCCCAAGCTAGGATATTAACCAGCCTGGTCTTGTGCAGCCAGCCTCAGCTGCTGGGAGTTCATAGGTTTGACAGTCCTGTGATATCCAGAAGATTCTGTCCCAGTCTTCCCTGAACCTCTGGCTCTTACAATCTTTCTGCCCCCTCTTCTGTAACGGTCTCTGAGCCTTTGGGGGGGGGGGTGACACAGATGTCCCTTTGGTGGCTGAACGAACACTCTATGGTCACCTATTCTCTGCACTTTAACGAGTTATAAGTGTTTTAATTTGCTTTATTGATTAATGTCTGTATGAGTGTGTGGACAGATTGTGTATGGGGCAGATGTGCATGACACTATGTGTGGGAGGCGGTCAAGAGACAACTTTATGGGGACAGTAATCTCCCATGTGTATATGAGATTTGGGGGATTGAACTCAGTTTGCCAGTTTCAGAAAGTCCTGGAATTTCATGGCATATGTCTACACGCGAAAGATAGCTCCATATCCATCACCCTCCTATACAGGTCACAATACGGAATAAATGTCTTTTGCACGTAACAGCTATGGTCAGGGCCCTGAGTCTCCTTGCCCTTGGAAGCCCAAACTCCAGTGTCCTAAAGCTCCTTTTCTCCTCTCCGCAGGAATGACGTGCCAAGCTCGAAGCTCCTACATCACCAGTGAGATCTTGTGGGGTTACCGGTTCACTCCCGTCCTAACGCTGGAAGATGGGTTCTACGAAGTCGACTACAACAGCTTCCATGAGACCTACGAGACCAGCACCCCATCCCTTAGTGCCAAAGAGCTAGCCGAGCTGGCGAACAGGGCAGAGCTGCCCCTGAGTTGGTCTGTGTCCAGCAAACTGAACCAGCACGCAGAACTGGAGACAGAGGAGGAAGAGAAGAACCCAGAAGAACAAACGGAGAGGAATGGTGATGTGGCAAACCTAGAGAATGAATCCAAAGTGTAGGCCCTGCCGGGTCAGCCTTTCCCTCCCACTCAGACAGGGCCTTTCCTTGTCTCTCACTCCCCTCTTTTTCTGTCTCTCTTACTTTGATCTTGATTGGTTTATACTTAATTTTGTCATTTCCAGAAAACAAATCTTCAAGGTGTAAAATGCCTACCTGCCCTCTCTCCGATGTTCAGACGGACAAGCAGACAGGGATTTGGTTATGGTACAGGTCATTTGTGGCCGGAGCCTGGTCTCCACGCACAGGAGAGACTCAGCCACTTACCCACTTCAATGTCCAACACAAATCACTCAAAAGAGCTGTCAGGGGTTTTACCCAGTGTCACAATGGTCACCTGCTTACCGTGGCCATAGGTCACACAGAATAGTCTCTTTGGTTTTATAGGGCCCACTCAGCACAGGGCAGGCTCTTGCCCACACAGACACTGAGGGTACAGGACCCAGGTGAGCTAAGGATAGACCACTGTACATAGATCTGCCCTATGGAATTATTTTCTTTTGGCAATTAGTAACAAAACTCAGCATGCACAAAAGTACTGTGGAGCAGAACTCCTAGTAATGTACATAGATGTATCATTCATGTAGCTTTAGACATATAACTTTAGAAATAAGAAAAAAAGATTCCCAATGTACAGTGGGTATTTCTGTTCTGTTACCTTGTCTTTTGATTATTTTGATCTCCTTGACTGCTGGCCCTCTAAATGCATGGCCTTTGTTCCAGGCCCCAGGCTGACAGTTGCTAGGTGCCATTCTGTCCCCTTGCGGTCCTTCTGTTGAATCTAATAAGCCATAGGTCTGGGACCAGTCCAGAGGTCTAATAGATGGCACCATCTACCATCCAAAATGCTGATATACTGTGACACATTTACCAAATGGATGCCATTTGCTTATAGACAACAAAAGTCCCTCTGACTAGCCTGGGGGACAAGGGACAGAACTCCAGCATGGCCCCACGTGCCCCTTCCCACGAACTCTAGCCCTCTGGAGTGCAGCAGTTTAAGAACCTTTCTGTAAAACCACTGATTGCTCTTCTGTGTCGTCTTCTATGAGAAAGTGCAGGCTCTTCATGTGGGCCATGGCAAGCCAGCAGACGATGACTTGGGTGTGAAGCCATGGCTTTCAGGAAGGCATGCAGTGGGTGAAATGACAGTGTTCATCACCAGCTCCCTGCCCTCCGACTTCATCCGGCATGCCTGTCCCTGGACCTGGCCTTACCATTTCTTACACGTTTTTTTTTTTTAATCTTCTATCATCATTGTTGTTGTTATTATTATGAAATGACCCGAATTTGGCATACAAAGAGTAGATAACCATCTTTATGGCAAATCCCTCCAGAGTGTGAAAGCATTCCACTATCTGAAATCTAATCCAAGCGTCTCTCAACCAAAAGAGCACAGACATCAACAACAATCAAACCTCATTTTGTTCTTCAAAGAAGGAAGGAATGAACGAACAAAGGAAGACAGGCAACATGTATAATAATCTAAATTCAAAAGGAAAGGAAGAGTAAGCCTGGAAAGAGAATCTTGAACGAGACGTCAGGCAGGTGGAGATTTTGCACCGATCTTTCTCGTTGATTTTGCATTTATAAACTGTTTGTCTTGAACACCATCGCCCACCACAAATATGCATTGAAGGGATCTAAATTTACTTCAGCTCCTACAGATGTGCTCAGTGTGAGACTTTGCACCATGGAGGTCAAAGAGGTCAAACTAGCTGTTCCCCTGCCTCCCTGGCCACCCCCGTCCAGACTGCACAGGGCTTTGCTGTAGTCTCGGTTCCTTGTCTGTAAGAGAGATGCCCCAGCAATTATGGGAAGTGGTCCCTCCATCCAACATCTGGATTGCTCCTCTCCCTCTGCAGGAATCTTGCCACCCAAACAGCCATTTCCTGGCACTGACTCTGGAACACAAAGCTATTGGCTGTGGCGCTTCCCTGCCTGCCAGCATTTCCTTTTGGCACTGGTTATTTATCAGTCCAGCCAAGATTCACTCTGCACAGTCTTAGCAGGAGATGGTGGAGGAGAGAGCCTGACACAATTCCCAAGAGGCTGTGGGAGGCCCCACAGCCTGACCTTGTTTTAGCCTTATGAAAGATGCTCTGCTTCAGGGCCCCAGTCTGCAGCAGCCCAGGGCAGGGCCTGTGTAGCACAAAGAAGGTGGCGAAAACCTGTCAAATGTCTACTGACTTAGCTCTTGAAGACTCACTGGGCCTTTTTAAATCTGTTACTGAGGTTTGAAGATCAAAAGATTCCCTATCGATGGGTTGAAAGAGCCGCTTTGAGGCTGATGGCTTCTTGCCTGCTCTTCAGCACACCTGGACAACAGGCCTGTGTGACCTCTGCAGGGCGCTCTGATGGGAGCTCTCTCTCTGCCTCTCATGGTCTTGATGTCACTGTGGTTGGTGACAGAAGTGGAAGAAAATCCTGTGTGTAACAGGAGCTCAGACTCTTAAGAGGCGGGCGCTCCTGAAGGACCTTTTATTAGAATGTCCTTATCAAACGTGTCTATTTTTTTACAGTCACTGAGAAAATGGTTTAACAGTGTATTTTGTGTCTACTGTTAAAATTTGAAAGAAGGTCATTAGGACTGAATTTTCTAAGCAGCAAGTAGTCAATGGGGTTTTTCATTAAGATAATTCAACAAAAGGGACCCCCAACGCCTCCCCTTTCTAGTCCACAATCCCAGTCCCTCTCTCCACCAACAGACCAAGTGCTACGAAAATACATGAGCCTATTAATGCATCAGTCAATCCATAACCAGTAGAGCGCTCTCTCCCTCTCTCCCTCCCTCTCCCTCCCTCCCTCCCTCCCTCCTTTCCTCTCTCACTCCACCCTTCTTAGCCCTTGATATTTTTGGCTCCTTAGTTGGTTTCTCAAGTCATTTTTTCCCATAAAGCACAGTGAGATCCATGGGCTGGATAAGATCCTGGAACTCAGAGGCAACAGTTGCCATAGTTGACCTCAATCTGACAGAGTAAATGAGCTCCCTGGGGTTTGCCTGGAAGGGAGGTGCTGAAGAGATCCTGGAAGTCCTCGATCTACTGACCACGCCCCTCCCCATTGACTTTGCAATAGGAAGAGTGTCTATTCATTTACAGATTGACTTTATGTAACAAACAGCTGTCTCCAGCAGTCCCCAGGGCACACAGCACACCTTGCTAACACATTAGAATCAGCTCATCCTTTTCAGGTCCTTCTGAACATCATGTTGGGATGCGGTCCTGACTCCATGTCCATGAGGTAGAACCCTCTCTTTTGTTCTCTCCATTCCAGACCTACTGACTTAATTTAGTATCTAAGTTTCCTAACAGAAATCTAGCTACTGTATCAAAATGTCGACCTATTTCTTAAGCACAACTTTTCTCTTACAGGTTTAACCAAAATAGGACTCGGACATGCCTTTTTATTTTTTATTTTTTTCATTATGCTCTGATTTAAGTGTGGCTTCGTTTTGAAGCCCAGATGTTCACAATTCTTTCTTTCTTCCCCGACCAGCAGGCTTGCTTTTCTGTCTGAATTTAAGATGGTATCTTTGGAGTGTTTAGAGACTGTTAGACTGAGGCGTGCCACAGGGAGAGCAAGAATGCTTTGGAAGATTCCGTGATCACGCTGAAAAAACACCAGATCCTTTAGCTGAGAGAAACTATGAAAACGTACAGACAATTTGCCGAGAGTCAACTTTCCATTTCTTTCCCTGACTTCAGAAATGCTCCAAACGACACAAAAGCTGGAAAGGCAGCTCCAAAGGAAATGACCCCCCACATGACCAGCATTACTATGACACTCATTTCCATGACTTCAACTCAATGCATAGCTGTAAAGTTGGAAAACATAAGCAAAATTGACATAATACATTGATTGAAATGATAACACAGCTAAAAAACATTATCTTGAGTTAGAGTTTATGTCCAACCTACATTTAAGAAAATGTCACCTTATAATTCAGAGTAGAGGGAAACATTCCTCTTCCCAATATGTCTACCCTCAATGTCTCAGAGGAGACTTTTGATTCAAAATGTCACGTAGAAGTCAAGACTGTCGGAAGGTTGCTAAGGGACGAGGACAATGTGTACAGTTTTGACAGTGCATACCTAACAACAAACCAATATTTTACCTGGCATTGTGTAGTAAATTCAGAACACTCCCACAAATCATCTCATGGAACTCTAATGCACAGGAGGCTGAGCACTATAATCACCATAATTGGGGATATAGAGTTTGGGCAAACTGAGTAATTTCACCACAGCTCCAAGAAAGTAAATGATAGATCCTGGTCTCAAACCCAAGTCACGAGGCTATAAGCATGGGATGTTTTTATTATGAAAAGGTTTGGCACACCAATATGCTGAGAGGCTAACCTATTATACTCTTTCAAGTTAACACCTACAAGTATAATTTTTATACTTACAAATGGTTGGGAGAAAAACCAAAAATATTTGGGGGACATATAAAATTCAAATCTCAGGGGCCAGGGATGTAACTTGATTGGTAGAGGGCTTCCTAGTTTGTACAAAGCCCCAGGTTTGGTCCCTAGTACTGCATAAGCAAAGCATGTTAGCACACACCTATTATAGCATTTTGGAAGTAGAGGCAGGAAGATCAGAAGAGCAAGATCATACTCACTACATAGAGAGTTTGGGACTAGCCTGAACTACATGAGACCTTGTCTCAAAGAAAATGATAATTCAAATCTTGGTCCATAAGTTTCATTGGAACCCAGCACGTCATTGGTGCATCATTGCCTGTGGCTGCTCTGACTTGTGAGGAGAGCTGAGTAACTGCAAGAGAGACTGTATGGCTGGCAAACCTCTGTGCTATTACTATATAATACTAGCCATTTGGGATGCAGCCGTCCTTTTGAGAATTACACTATTCTCATAGGTTTGGGGGAACATCAGAGAATGATCTCCTTTCCCAGCCCAAACCTGCCAGAGTCACTTACAGATCTGTACCAGGAAAACGTGTTGTGGGTTTTGAGAGTAGGTCATATAGTCAGGGCGCTCAGAGAGAGGGCTTTCTTTTCCTGTGTGGCCTGCTGGGATTCGGCATCCATGTAGGAAATGGCAGAGTAGAACCACTCATTAATGAGCAATAAAGAAATGAAAGCTCCCGGCCCATCGACGGAATTATGGCTTCTCTGGTGCCGTGGGCCTTAAACTCTGCAGACGGCTCAGCCCACTGGTGTCTGCTCAGGTGCGGGTGCAGCCTGGAGGAGGACTGACTGCTGAGAGGCCTCTCGTGCTCTTGCTGGTCCCTGTAGTCTGGAACTCAGGATGGCTTGGTGTGGTGAAAAGGATCCTGAGGCCACTGTCAGTGTTCCTCCCCTCTGGCCCTGGCCTTCTCTGGCCCCTTGGCTAGAAGTTCAACATGCAGATGACCACCCGTCCTTCTCTGGGAACTCAAGAGGTCTCTGCCAGCTTGAGGGGAGCAGGAGGGTGGGACAAGGTTATCAGATCACTGGTAACTGCAAAGTAGAAGAATCCCAGTGATGGGAATTTTAGTTACGGAAATATTAAATGGCATTGTTTGGAGTCAGAAATTTGATTTACTTTAGTGTTAAGGAAATAGTTCTCATACCAATGAGCCAAATTTGGTTCTTTTTTGTATCAGTTCTATTTAAAAAAAAAAAAAAAAAAAAAAAAACAGAAAGAGAGAGAGCATACATATCAAGTTCTCTTATGAATGCTTTCTAGGAAATTAGATGGGAAAGAAACTATTTTTGTGACAAATCATTGTATGTTGTGTTTTTGACAGACAAATGACAGATGCGTTTCACATGCCAAACTAAGTAGGTAATGGTATCTGCCACAGAGACCATGCAGAGTTCTTTAATTCTTTAACCACTTGGAAGAAATGACCAGGTCACACAGTCTCCAAGTCCAGCATCATGAAACTTAAAGAAATGTCAAAGGAGCCAAACTTCTACTTGGCCTCATTGCCTTAGCAAAAGAAAGCTTCATGCACCCACCCAGTTCATGTGGGGCAGCCCAAGGAGAAGGAAGGCGATGCTTTTGAACTATACAAGATTAGTTCATGGGTGGACTCCTCTGGGGGAAAAGGGAGGGTTGGCCGGTGGTGAAATGTATCTATCATGTTCTTTTAGATCCTCTTCCCCCAGACTCGGATCCAGGCGTGTGTGTGGTTGGCAGATAACAATGGCCACAGAGTCAACAGGTATCAGCTTTGGGGGTAGACAGGTTCCTTCCTATCCACGTGTAATTGACCACCTCAAGATCAAGGCTCAGCACCCATCATGAAAACTGTGATATCAATGTAGCCAATCTTTATAAGAATATGAAGGGCTGTTTTTCTCAGGCAATGTAAATATCTGCTACCAACAAGCACTAGTGAAATAAACATGCCAACCATCAGAGCTTCTAAAATTTACACAGCACTCACAGTATGTTCACCCAAAGGAGTGAGAGGCCCCCAAGACATCCCAGGAGTGCAAGAGCAGACCCAAGTTGAGGCTGAAAGCCCTTCAGAGGCAGCCAGTGCTAGATTTACGGTCATGAAATACAAATAGCATATTGACTGGAACTAGGGCCTCAGATCCCAGCCAGTGTGCACCATCTAAACCTCTGGGTCTTCAATCAGAGTTCTCAGAGAAGGAAGGACAGTCTTCAGATCCACCCTCTCTCAGTACCTCTGCCTGTGAGAGTGACAGTGAACACCTTCCCCTGCTCAGCTTGGACAGGCCACAAGACTCACCGTGCCCACCTGCTGAGGCCCCTCAGAATGAGTGTCTGCACAAAGGACATCTAGACAATGACCCCATAGAAGTGTCTTCTGAGGGCTTGGAGATTTTAAGGATACCTGGGAGGCATTCTTGACTCCATAGAGCACCTCCTGAGTCAGGAATGAACTTAGACCTTTGGAATCTGCCAGGTGCCAGGGAACCCTGCCCATATGTAAATCCAGTAAAGCAAAAATGAAGTAAGCAAGCGGAAGGGAATCCCCAGAAGTTCTGATTTCACCATAATGATTATCTCCATGATATTTTGACTTTCTTTTTTCATTGGGATCCCATTTCATATGAATCCCATTCATGTCAAAGAATTCACAAACCTTTCTCTAACAGCTGCCAAAGGAGGATAGGTGTTTAATTTAGTCCTTGAGCAGCCACCATGTATAGCTTGTTATCTGGCAGTCCTACCTCTTACCACTAACTCTCCACTGCCGACTGTATTGGAGTCTGACCTCCGAGATAAAGTATTTAGAATAGTTTGCTCCTACCATTGGATAGCCTGAGCTTACTACTGGTGTCTGCACATCTTTGGTCCCAGCCCAGCAAATGGCCAGAGCAGGGTCAAGTGAGGTCTCATGCTGGAGGGACAGATGTGCTCGCTTGGTTGGGTCTTTCGGTCTCTCCATCATTTGCAGCATATGATTATCTAGACAGCTTTCCCAAGAAAGTCCTGAGTATCTTTATTCAGCCCAGCACGCCTCCTCTAAAATCAGAGGCATGCCATGACAACGGCATTCACAGGCACAGGTTCTGAAGTGACCCAAAAATGTGCCTGGATTGGCAAAGTGGTCTTTTCTCTGCCCACAGTCTGTACAAACTGTGCTCCAGGGGAAACACCCAGCACTCTGGGATGACTGCTACTCAGGAGGTATTGCTCAGCCGCTGCCATGGCAACCCTCCATCTGTGAGCATGGACCACTCTTGTGCAGGCTGGAGGAGGCTTGGAGGAGGTCCCAGGGGCTGAAACTCTGAGGGCTGATCCACCTGCAGACAGCCTTGGGGGAGCCCAGAGAAATGAGAGTCGGGCCCAATAAATGTGTACTCACTTAGCACACAAGTGTGAGGTGGTCTTGTTGCATCTTACCACAGTGTGCATATAGTGGCTGTGTGTGTGTGTATATATACTGTAGGAAGGAATGCACACACACACACACACACACACACACACACACACACACACACACACACCACTTACCTTTTTAAAATTCCAGAAACTACATTCACAGTATCCAATGTAACAGATGTCCAAAGAATTGTCATTCTCTTAATCGATAAGTAAACACTGTCTGCCAAATTAATACTGGCCCAAAATAAATAATGTTTCAATAGTAAGCCCAAGTACAAACAAAAGCAATAGAAAACCTTATTCAGATTTGCTGGGTGTTGTGGGGCACGTTTGTTATCTCAGCACTTAGGAGACAGAGGGAGGAAGAGCAGGAGTGGAAGGTCATCCGTAACTACATAGGGAGTTCAAGGCCAGCCTGAGCTACGGGAGACCTAACCTAAATAAATACATAGACATAGTTTGTTGTTGAAAATCTTATTTCAAGTTAAAGATACTCATTTTTATCCAGAATTCCCAGCTCTCAGAATACTATTTCTTCTTGAGCTTACTGTTTCCATCTGGCTTTGAACCCGGCTCCTGCATATTGACACGCAAAAGTAGACCTGAGCGCCGAAGCGTTCAGCACCCGTGAGTCAGTCTGGCCCCTAGAGCAGGCTGAAAGAAAGTCAGCAGGGTGGGGACCATTCCACAGCAATCTCAGAGGGCAAGGAAAGGAGACTGGGATGAGGGAGGTGTGGAGTGATATTGTATTCAGATCTCTGGTGCACGCCCATGCAGCTGACCTCAGCACCCAGGGCTCTCCTAGTGAGCCTGCTGTATCCTCAGGGACAGTAGAGGATAAGTGAGAACTTTCCACAACCCAGACCATCACACATAGGACTTGCTCCCATCTGGTTTTCTAGCTCTGTTAAAATAGGCATCAAGGCTCGTTAACACACGATCCCTCCTATTACAACTCTCCCTGTATCTGCCCTGTTCTAAAGGAATGAAGAGCCCTCTGGATGCTACACAGTGTGGTGAGACCTTCATTACTAACACTCGAATTGGAAAATATAAAACAGCCACTCCTAAACACATGTGCAGGAATGCATGCACACACATAGACCACAGTCTTTACCTCCCAATCAGCTATGACTAAGTCCACATAAGTTTCCAGAAGATGGGACTGGAGATACAGCTCATCAGCTGAGAGTACTTACTGCTCTTGTGGGGGAGACCAAGTTTGGTCCAGGACCCAAACCAGGCACCTCACAACTGCCTGTAACTCCAGCTCCAGGAGAATGTAACACTTCTGACCTCTGCAGGCAACTGCACCCATGTTCTCTCTCTCTCTCTCTCTCTCTCTCTCTCTCTCTCTCTCTCTCTCTC